GCATGACAGTGAACAGATTGATGTGCTATCAGAACTAGAGTTTATGTTCGGAATTGCTATCATCACTCTTTTGTCTCAAGACTCTCAACCGATACTCGTTCTACAAATATGAATACAAACCTTCAGTGAAGCTGGCAGATCATCCACTAAAAAGAGTGCTCTTAGCTTTGTTGTCATGGCCACAGCAAACCCAGAAACTTTCTCACCGACAAGATCCGCCTTTAAAGGAAAAATTTTGAAAAAGTTAATCAACTTCATGATTCTCCACCCTCTCCAAGCAACTGCGTTTCTTCTTACTAACACTTTCTACCCTAATATTGGAATTCATCTTCTTCTCACTGTTCTCCTTACATTTCCTTTGCTACTGACAAGGAGAATTTTCTTGACAATCAGGGGCTTCTTAAGTTGGTTATCATTTCCTTTATTCTCATGACCTTAATGTGTAATTCACAGGTGATATTGTAAGGAGAAATTCGAAGCAAATCAATCCTAATGGCTCAGCCTTCAGACGTAACATTAGTTTGATTTCTTAAGATGTAATACTTTATCCAACACATTGTGTCAGGTGTACTTGCCTTATCTTTGGAAACTTCTATGTCCCTAGATAAATACGCCCTAAGATGGAAAATTGGCGTAGAAGCTTAGGATTAAAATTTTTGTCTTGCTAATGCTTTCATGATAATTATAATTATATTTAATGAAGGAACCCAACTCGCCAATGTGGTTCTCAGTGAAGCATTGAGTACTTTATCTCGGAAAATGGTATGTTCACTGTTTGCACACACTTTGAAGCTAAGGGTAGGAATTGGGAAGCGTTTTAATCAGACGCGACTTCTCTCGTGCCTAAATATATAATTTGCAGGCATAACAGGCTGCAAAGGTACAAGCGCACGTGCGAACGTTGTATAGGCAAAGAGTTATAAAAAACTATACAAGCAAGCAAGTCGCAATGTTTGAAATACGTATAACTTTTTTTGATAAACCTCAAAACATTAGGGTTAATCAGTTGGAAGTCCGTAATTAGATAAGATTTTTCTGCGAAAATTCTCGCGTTTTCGTTTTCCCTACTTTTCTTTGCTTTTACAGATTTCTATGAACGTTTCAAGTTTTTCTTTTCGCATAGTTTTCGTGACAGCAAAAAACACATGGTCGCCCAAAATTTATCTCCTTGCGCATGCAATCACGTGTTCCCAGCTCTTATTCTCTACCAGCTATAGCATTACAGACTAAACACAATTGCTTACTTGAGTGGATGCTCAAATTCAATTCTGAGAAATGCAGATCTTGCAGTCATCAGCAGTCGCAAGGCGAGCATGGGAGCGAGGCAAACCAGTGCTATGTTGGTAAGAACGCTGACCACACTGAACTGTGTCATGCAGATCAGGAGGACAAACCCGCTGACAAATACAATTGCAGTCACTTTGACATCTCGCCATAATAAAATGTCCTTTACATCCATAGCCGGCTCGGGGGAACTAAAATGAACATTATAAAAAAGCGTTTTTAGTGCTAAAATTACCGATTCAAAGTATAGCAACCAAACTCCTTTGACATTAGGAAATCACAAAAGATATTTGATAATGGTATATGAATACAAACTCCAAATGATTATGTTGAATAAGGAACTAGCCATTATTTAACGACGGAAAGGGGAGGGGGGAGTGGGTCAAAGGATTTTGGTTGTGTCATGTAAAATTTACCTGATCACCCCATGAGGCTCTGTAATATTCTCGAGATCACCCCCGACTGTCAGGGACACGAAAGGAAATGCTTTGTGTTCCAAATTGGAAAATGTTCATTAAAATGAACGCTTCGTCCCATTTCAATGCAGTGGTTGCAATTTTAAACAAAATTTAAACAGCAACTAGTGTTGACAACCGTGTCATGCGAAGGTATGCATTAAAAAGGGTAGTCCCCCTGTGAATCAACAGTGAATCATACAGCGCATCATATTAACGCCGTGTTCATTACAACCGCTCTGTCGGCTTAGCACTTTGACCCCTGAGAGTTACAAGCTTTTAATTTAATTTCTCCTTACAATCTCACCGCTGAACCAAACGCAAAAGTCATGAGAATTAAAGTGGTGATCATCATCTTAAGAAGCTCTTGATTGTTAAACAAATTCTCCTCTTCAGCACCATAGGAAATGCATAAAGAACAGTATGGAGAATAAGCATACTGATGTTAAGGTGTGAAGCGCTAAGACACTCTAACAAGTTAACGTCGACTCCATTATAACCACTCTAAAGGCTTTCATAACACTTGAGCACATCAGACAAACATATGCGGGTGTTACTCAATATATTCAAATTAGTCTATGTGTAAGTTAGATCATTTTCAAGGCAGAGCCGGCCAAATTGTTTCATTTAGTTGAGTCGAACTCATTATCGACAAATTTTGCCATTGTCTAAGAAAAAATACAGTGCCTATCCCTCCTTAAAGACAGATAATAAACTGAAAGTTTCGCAATTTGAAAACAACTGTTCCTCTCAATTTAGTAATTTTTCCGTCTTTTGAAGGGTCTATCACTGACAGAATTTGCATTTTAATTCAAGGAAAAAAAAGAGCAAATATCTACACCGATTTAGTGTTTCATACCTTGATAACTTATTTCGACTACAGCAACTACAGACTGATTCCGTGTGAAAAATTTGTTTCTTCCACAACAAAGCAAAGATATTTCCATTCAATACTTAATTAAGTAACCAAATGTTTTCATGTTTCAGCGTGCGGGCGAGACAACACACTCAGCCTAAGTACTTGATAGTAATACACAACGCAAAAAATCTGGGCGTCAACTGGCCTGGATGTTCTTAAATATGCTTGTTCCGTTTTCAAATTTTTCCATGCATTTCGATGTAATGAAATATATTCATGTTACTTCGTGAACCCCATAAAATATTTAAAAAAAATTTATATCGAATACTCATCGAGATGGTAATATCAGACTTCGTATTATGCAAAACTTTACACCAAACGATAAACTACATCAAAACCGAAATTTAGAGGGGCAAATTATTTTGCTGAGACCTTGAAGTTATGTTGGAGTCATTTGAAAATTTCGTTTACGGTAAAAATGAGAAAAACTTGAAGATCATTCCAAACGAAATTCATCGTCAGTCAGCCTTCGTTTTGATCACCGATCACACCCAAGTAAAACTTCATATGACATTTACATCGATTTCGAAGACTGCACTGTGAACTTCTGTAGGCAAAACACGCTTTATTTTAGTATTTCTCCGAAGAACTGCACAGTCTTGAATCGATGATAACGCCAGATATTCTCAAGGAGAGGAATTGCTACTGAGAATCGATCGAATTTCCATAGAATTACGATGTAAATGATCAAGGACTTTGGTAGAAATCAACCAAAACAAAGCTTCCCACGATTTCAATAGCGTGATCTGCAATATTCCTCGCATCAAACGTGTTTCTCTGTAAAATTCTCAACACACAGAAACTAAAAATTACAGATCCTTACCTCAAATCCAGTTGGCACAATCTCGAATTATCCTCGGCTGTTGGGATCGTGTTTGTATTTCGGCTACAATATGGAAATCCAATCTTTGCAGCTGTCATCTGGATCATTAAATATTCACTGCCCTCTCAGCTTCCGCTAGTTCACAGATAAGATCACAACCGAACAATCGCTAAGCAATATTGATATGCTGTAATCTAAAATAATCTATTTTGGACAGTGAAAGAAAACTGATGACACGTTAAAAGGGAACACAATAGGAAATTTAAAAAAGATATGTAAAAGACAACTTAAAATGCCTTAACCTGCCCATCCTTCAAATAAGGAACGATAAAAAGGGTTTTTTTGACAAGTAACTGAAACAATTATATAATACACCGCTTTTAATACTTAGAAAGTTTATTTTTAAATGATGTAAGTAAAGGTAAACACAGATTGGGTTAATTAGAGTACAATTTGAGCTTTTTTGCTGTCAAAATAACATAGGATTGAAAAGTCACAACAAACGATGACAGAAATGACCAGAGGTAATTCAGAGCGTTATGACAAAAATCATCCATACCACATGTCAAAATGTCAAAATGTCAAAATGTCAAAATGTCAAAATGTATCATTTATTCTCCAGATTACTTTTTGAAATTATTTCTTTTTTTCTACTTCTAATGTAGTACTTTTACTACACTTTCCTCGGCAATCTCGTTCAAACCAGAGATTTTCCCCTTCATTTTGCAATTGTTTGATGGGAAAGAAACAATACATTTCATTCGATGGTTTAAAATAAAATGCAATCAGATATTTTGCGAGTTGTTTAGTATTTTTCCAAGCCCCGTAGGGACAAGGGAAAAAAGACGAGAAATAAGTAAAATTTTCGCTTGTATTGCATGTAATAACATCGGATAAGGAATTTATCATTCCCCTATCATTTCATTGCCTAGAATTTTAACTTTCATGGTAAATTTTTTATCGATCGAGTAAGGCGTGCGCGAAAGACAAAAAAAGAAACACAAACGAAACCATTTAAGAGTTCTTTGTGACCAGCAGTAAAATCTGATCCGCTTAAAAATTCTTATCCCAAAAGTCAAGGCTAAAAAGATATTAAAACTCAGAGTTTGGATTGTTCAGCGCTGCCATTACGTTCCGCCGCTATCCTTCCGTATTTTTGCCCTGTTCTAGAGAGTGGTATAGTTGTATATTATGTCTGTACCAGTGCCCTAGTTTGGTAAAATGGTGTAATAGTGGAATTATAAAGAGTCACACGCGCAAGAGAGAGCAGAAACGTGGGGGAACTAACTCACTCACGCGCGGTTGAATTAAGGGAGTGCTACAACAGCTATGCACCGTATTTATAAGACATCAAGGCAGCCAAAACAATAAGATGTAGTAATTACTTCCGTGGGATGTGGATGTGAATGTGGCTACGAAGTGATCATTGATCATATGATAAAATATGATGTTGAGCAAAAGTAAGCACCATGCGCCAAGCCCGCGCTCCCCCCCCCCCCTCAAAAAATTTTTTTTCTTTTCATTATTCACCCCCTACACTTATGACACTTTTTTAGCAAAAAGGACGAGGACAACAAATGCTCTGTCAACGACATGCCTAGTGGCGGCTTTGAGATTCCTTGAAAGCGGCGAAAAACTTTTCCATGAAATGCGATCCGAAAGGAACCAAATAGCACAGAAGCGTGTTTAAATTTTTAAATTTTGCGCGGAAGGATGCCTCCGGACCTCCCTTCGGCCTTGTATCAGAATAAACCACAATCTCATCTGCCATAGGGCCTCTTCTCTTCAAAATTCGTTTCTCCAGGCCCACCTATAGATGATATCCTTCGAGCCCCTGTTACATCCAGTCGTCCCGTATGAAGAGAGAGCCGTTATCAAAGCCAAAAAAGCTTCGAGTTCCACAATAACGTCCTCAATCTACACGTTCTGTTGCAATGCCTCGATAAGTTCGCCGCATTTTGTCTTGACAAATTTTTCTAAGACTGTGCAACAGTTGTCACATGACTTGGTATACGATGCGCATGCGCAACCTCTGATTGGCAGTTTGTTATATCCCCAACAACTGTTCAGCTCGTTAGCGATCTCCAGGGCTCGGCCTTTCTCTTTCAAAAATTGTTCCCTCAGTTGCCTAATTTCACGGGCATGCTGTTCCTTAAGCCAGCGAAGATGATTATTTAAGAGGCAAACTAGATTCTCCGCTTCTATGTTGTCGAAATTTGGACAGTTCTTGAGCTCTTGAAAGTTCATTCTTGCGAGGGAGGCCAAGCATTTTTCAAGCAGCCGCTTCAGCGAGAATTCCTGCGCCAGGATCACCAGCTCAACCGAGCTTTGTTTCTGTAAGAGACGCTCCTCGCAGCGAGAAGTTAGTTTACTTATCTGGTATTCTCGGGACAACTCCAAAAGGCTTCTTACATCGTGCTGATCTGAAATAATGTATTTAATATACAAAGTTGACTTTACGAAAAAGCTTCACCGACTATAACCTGTGAGTTTCTTAGATACTCTTCATGGTGGCCAATTTACATTATCAACTCAGTTGATACAACTAAATTATCTTGTTATACCCTCCCACCGACGCAGCACCATAGTTTCTTTAGTGACTTACTCCTTCACTCAGCTATAGAGCAATGTCTACTGTTACGGAAAAATTGAAAAAAAACCTTTAACTGGGGGAGGGGGGGAAGAAGACTTAAAAACACCTGCTGTGGGGGTCCACGGCCATGTTCCCCTAAAAGACCTAGAGTTCACATCATTTGCTTGAAAATGGAAGGGTCAGTCCTTTCACCCTCTTCTCTTCACTTCTTCCCTTGACATAAGCCTCCCATCCCCCCTTCCCTTCTTCCCTTGACATAAGCCTCCCATCCCCCCTTCCCTTCTTCCCTTGACATAAGCCTCCCATCCCCCCTTCCCTTCTTCCCTCGACATAAGCCTCCCATCTCCCCTTCCCTTCTTCCCTTGACATGAGCCTCCCATCCCCCTTCCCTTCTTCCCTTGACATAAGCCTCCCATCCCCCTTCCCTTCTTCCCTTGACATAAGCCTCCCATCCCCCTTCCCTTCTTCCCTTGACATAAGCCTCCCATCCCCCCTTCCCTTCTTCCCTTGACACAAGCCTCCCATCCCCCCTTCTCTTCTTCCCTTGATATAAGCCTCCCATCCCCCTTCCCTTCTTCCCTTGACATAAGCCTCCCATCCCCCTTCCCTTCTTCCCTTGACATAAGCCTCCCATCCCCCCTTCCCTTCTTCCCTTGACATAAGCCTCCCATCCCCCCTTCCCTTCTTCCCTTGACACAAGCCTCCCATCCCCCCTTCCCTTCTTCCCTTGACATAAGCCTCCCATCCCCCCTTCCCTTCTTCCCTTGACACAAGCCTCCCATCCCCCCTTCCCTTCTTCCCTTGACATAAGCCTCCCATCCCCCCTTCCCTTCTTCCCTTGACACAAGCCTCCCATCCCCCCTTCCCTTGATATAAGCCTCCAACCCCCCCTTCCCTTCTTCCCTTGACACAAGCCTCCCATCCCCCCTTCCTTTCTTCCCTTGACATAAGCCTCCCATCCCCTCCTCCCTTGACAAAAGCCCCCCCCTCTTTCCCTCTTTCTTTGACATAACCCTCATAATAGCAACGCCTTTTCACTCTACCGAGTGGCTAATGGTAAACATATAGGTTTTGCCATCTTAAGGTTTTTATTCAGAGCTAGTAGGCCCTGGCTGTCACACCATTTTGCAACGGGTACTTTGTAAATATGTGGCTAAAGATAGAAAACAAACTTGTTTGAAGTGATTCTGTTGAGCTAAGAAAAAGTTACTCAAAGATGTAGCTTTGAGAACACTGGAAATCACATCTCGAACAGTTTCAAATTTCACATTTCTCCAGGAAAGCATGCCCCCGGAAACATTTGAAATTAACCTCACAATGCAAGAATAATTAAATTCAGCTGCCTACTTAGTTCAGATCATGCACCAATTACATCTCCTAATTACAATCTCCTAAATATTTATTTAAATTTATTCTGGTGATTTTTTTTGATACCTTATGTCTCCCTGTAAAAGGTAAAATTTGGTGAAATAAAGCTATTGAGGAATGTTTGCTCAGAGGATTTTTAGCTCATTTTCCTACACCTTTTGTCAGACAGTGATTCACAGACTGTAAGCAGCTACAAATTGTAGCTTATTTTGGCAGTCTTGATACACTTTCAGGACTGTTACCTTTGGGGAAGTGGCTGTTGTAGAGGGTTTAAAACAAGAGTGAACGTGGATTTTTCACCTTTACCCAAAAAAGTGTTTTTCACATAGAGGTTATTACAAGAGTAATCATTACAAGGGTCTAATGAACTTGGTTTAAATAATTATAAACATGAGTGAATCATTCACATTTGCTTGAAATACAGAAAATTTCAATTTAAGCCCCCCTCCCTCTCTCAGCCCCTAAAAGTACCTTACTAATTGCATGCCTCCCGATTGATTCAGAAAGTTAAAGAAGCATCCAGTGGTTTAAACTTCCCAGGACAACAACCTTCAGTGTGCAGTCCATGCATGAGAATAATCCACCCCATTATCAAAAGCAATTCAATTTACATTCCATCCTGATAGTTTTTTGCAATCCTACGTAAATCTTAGTGTTGTGTTATCTGAAACATTTGTCACCTTATCCTTGTGTCTGTAAAGATTTTCTTAATGGAAAGCAGAAGGGAAAAAGGGAAAGGAAGAATGCATTAAGTAGACAGGTGACAACAAGGCATGGAGAGTAGAGAGAGCAGCTTGAGCATGTGAGGTTAGTAAGTTTATTATATAGCACTTGAACCAAACTTGTTTATTTTGAATTTTCCAGATTAAGCAAAGAGAAATACATGGCTTATGACCATTTCCATGGAAATGGTCTGCACAGCAAAATGTTGACAGACTAAGGACCAATCAGAGAGCTCAGATTTACCTAGGAACTACCTTGCCATATCATAATGCAATTTAAGATGGGTATAGAGTAATACTAATTGATGCTTTTCAAAAAAGAATGAAGGAACACATTCAAAATGAAATTTGTGCAATTAAATTTCATCAAAATATTCTGAAAATAAGAGAAAACTAAGAAGGGCTTACCAGAAATCTGCAGAGGGAATGGATATATCATACACAGTAATTCATAAATTTTTTCTGCCTTCTTCCCTGGGAGGGGAATTTCAGTTGATGTGGCTTCTTTAAAGCCCGACTGGAACATTGTGTTGAACACAGGTGAGCTGATAGCCAGAATGGATCTGTGCACATGAAACCGCTTGTCCTCTACCACCAATACAGCGTCACTAAAATTCCAAGGCTCAGAAAACTTTGGCAGGTGATCTCCATTGTTAAACAGGTCCATACCTGATGATGAGCACATCAATAGTTATGTGGTTAGACAATTCAATGCCAATTGGCCAATCCAGCTAAAACTTATCCAGTTTTCCATGCCATGAGCCAATTAGGAATATTAGGCCACTTGGAAATCATAAGCATATGGAGAATATGAATACTGATGTTAGGGTGTAAAGGGTTAACTCTTGTGAGTGACCAAGACCAAATTTTTTGATGAGTTTTAAAAGGCTTGGAAACTCTTTACACTGGCCAATTCATGTTATCAACTCAGTTGATAATACTAAATTACCCTGTTATACTCTCCCACTAATGCAGCACCACAGTTCCTTAATAAATTTGCCCCCTTTTTTCAAAACTACTGCTTCATTTGGGAACACATTCATATGATCGGACCTGGAAAAATGTCTTCAGCACAATGAACAATAAGCGTGGTGTGGAAAATTTGGCACATTGAAGCTTGAAATTTATCATTTCCACTACTGGCTAAACTACAGAATACAGAGCTCCTTTTAACCATCTACCAAACGAAACGAGCCCGCTCGTTTAGCTCATTTGCTCCTTTGTTGACCCTAGAAACCAAGACAGAATTTCTCCTTACATTATCAGTACGACATCAAGCAGACAAGTAAGGAGAATAAAGAAAAATATCAATTAGGGGATTATTGGTTGATCCAATTCCAAATTCTCCAAACTAACATGACATAAATTGCATGGCAGACAGTAAGGAGAATTACTCATGAAATCTTGGGAGTTAAAGGATTAACAGAAAAGACCACTGCTGAGCCAAATGAACCAAACAAGCCACTAAATAGATAGACCTAAGACTTAATCTGCATATAATTAATCCTCATTCTTTCATTTACTGCTGAACTAAATGAGCCACTAAACGTATCGAACTAAGATTTGATGGGCATATATATTATTCCTAGTTTCTCATCCATTGCCAAGCCAAATGAGCCAAACAAGCCAAACAAGCCAAACAAGCCACTAGATTCATGTAGATGCTCCTTCAAAAGTGGCTCTGTATTGTGTAGTTGCTCCCCATCATCTTAAATCAACTTAGTTGATGACATTAAATTACCCCATTATTTTAATCTAATTCACTCTAAACAGAAGTCTCGCCCAATACTCGGGTGGTAAGGGGCCTGAAATTTGAAAGTTAACTGACGGGAAAATAATATGTGTACATAGCTCATCTCCCTGCAAAGATTTGAGAATATAATCACAGGTGAAACAGGGCCTGAAAAATTGAGTTTACTTTGATTTCCAAGATGGCGATAATGACACCTAGTATCGAGACATTGAGCTTCGCTGAGAATAAGGAAATACTGTTGTTAACATTCCTATGCGCTGTTTCTAACCCTTTATACCCCAATGTTTTGGCATGGAAGTAATGAAAAATACGCCTGCATGCGCTTCCAGGTGCCTTTGAAAAACGAGTGTTGCAAACATGTTTGTCACTACTGAAGTAAACATTGGTTTAGAGACAACTGATTTCGTTTAAGATAAAGTATCTCTAAACGATGAACAGCTACTTTATAACACTCTACGTGGAAGAGAAAAAATTATTTCCTCATACCTTGCAAAGGCAAATTTGAGGCTGTTGACGGTACAAGTTTTAGTTTGACTCGACTTACTTCACCAGATTCAAATGAAGTCAGCACTCATCAGCCAAAACAAAATTTCCGTGGTGTAAATATAATCGAAATTTCTTACGGCAGAATAGGTCCGTAAGGCGTACGAGGGTGCGTTGGTTAAAAAAAGAAGATCGGTATTTAACTAATGTATAACATAGGTATCACGCTTAAAAGAAAAGAAAAGTACAAATGGTGATTCAGTGAGAAATCTTTGGTGGGTAGACAACAAATTTTAGAAACATGCGAGTAAAGAATTACATGCTTCTGCTTAAATGTATCGGTATTTATAGAATATATGAAAACGTTCAGATGGAATTTTTACCTGTACGCGTGAAAAGCATTAGAGTTGCCATTACTATTTCAAGACCAGAACCTAAAAATGTTGAAATTCTAACACTTGAAGGTAAGAAAAGTAAAGCATACAATTTCAATTTCTTTTGCTGATCTGGTGTGAAACGAAAAAAATGACGGTTTGTTGTCGTAAGTGGGACAGTCTGAGCCTTGGTTGGGAACAATAAATTTTCACATCGGGTTTTTGGGTAAAAATGATTGGACCCAGACTTCTCTCAAAACTGTGTCACGTATCACAGCGGACGCGTTTTTAACTGCGTGGGAAGGAGAGCTGTAACTGAGGTCTCTCTATGCTCCGAGATTCGTCAACTGCTTGGGAAGGGAACCTGTAACAGAGCTCTCCCTGTACTTCTAGACACGTAAACCGCGTGGAAAGAGAAGCTATAGCAGAGGTCTCTCTGTGATCCTAGACACGTTAACCGCGTGCGAAGGGGAGCTGTAGCATAGGTCTCTCTGTGATTCTAGACGCGTTAACAGCGTGGAAAGGGGAGCTGTGACAGAGGTCTCTCTGTGCTCCTGGACACGTTAACAGCATGGGAAGGGGAACTGTAACAGAGGTCTCTCTGTGCTCTTAGACACGTTAATCGCGTGGGAAGAGAAGCTATAACAGAGGTCTCTCTGTAATCCTAGACATGTTAATCGCGTGGGAAGGGAAACTGTAACAGAGGTCTCTCTGTGCTCCTGGACACGTTAACAGCGTGGAAAGTAAAGCTGTAACAGAGGTCTTTCTTTGCTCGTTGACACGTTACAACAGGATCATTTGGATTTGGGTGCTACCGAAATGAAGAGGAAGGGTAAAGATTACTTCATTAAATCGTATCGCCCTTTTCTAGCGCGAGAAACAGTTGTCTAATCGCTCGTGTTTTTGCCAATTGAGTTATTATGCCAGTAACGCGGTCTATTGCTTTTATGAAATAAACTTAAAATATTTCAATTTTCTACGAGTTGACTGATGCAATAAATGATGGGTTCTTGACCGATTAGGGTTTTCGTTGTATCTCAGCTATCTCAGAAATACAATTAACCTATGGATAACACCGAACACAGTTTTTAACTTCGACTGATTTCAAAGTACACCACGAAGTTTTATTGCATCTTTCAAAGTTCATTTGTTGAAGCTTTTACACTCAGTTATTTAACCAGGCCACCTGAAGAATCTCATCTTGGGCATACGCACATCATCTGTATTTCCTCCTCAATAAACAAGTCAGACCGCTTGCTGAAATAATCAATGTGTTTATATATCATGTGTTTCTTTAATATCTACAGTGACACGACTACGGAGCTGAGAAATCGAAAGTAATTTCAGGTTTGTATCGGTTTTGCTTTTCCTCATCCCGTGATTGGTCGAAAAAAAACTCACACCACCTTCTCAACCATTCAGATCCAAGAGTCGAACCAATCGAGGCTTATTCACTAACATTTTCCAGCACTCGAGATCACTTCAAGCTCTCATTGGCTCTGACTGACTGATATTTTCTTTGATTTGTTTTCTTTCTCTTTTTTTCTCTTGGTCTCAGGGCACTCAATTCTAAATGATGTTTCAGGAACCCAATTTTGTTTTAAAGCTGTATAGTTCAGTTACACTGAGGGGATCGGGAGCTTTAATATTCCTCTCTTCTCTTAACTCTCCCTCTCAGTAACGTACTCCTTTGAGTCATGAGATAGGAGGATGTGGCCCCTGGTTCACCTTTACTGCAAAACGCTTCACGAATTTAAAAGGGCCATCCACAAGAGTGTAAATTATTTTATTTAAATGATTATTTAACAAGTAAGGTTTTGAGTTATAACAATTAACGCACATATTTATAGTCTTTCTTAATCTATTCATACTTCAGTGTTTTTAAACTTATCTATTGGTTGAAAGGACCCCTCAGTGAAGCACTTTCGTAGTGAAGAGGGTATCCTCGATAAATATTTATTCTACCACTTTTAAGTTTGAATGGTAAGTCTCTATTTTTACGATCTTTCAGGGGAGGAGAGAATGCCATTCTCCTCTAAGCTAGCCTCCCCTCCCCTTCTCTTTTAAACACACTTATCATTGAGGTAGTTAATCTTTCACTATCTGACTACTCGTTTAAGTCACGTGCACATAAGCTCTTCAACACTCCGATACTCCTATGGTAAAAGTTAATAACAGGAATTCACCGAAGGTATCTTTTGTTCCACAAGATAAAAAGAGAGGCACAGCTATGTTGAAACTTTTTCGAACAATTTTTCAAAGTTAGGCTCTTATTTAGGCGAAGTTCAAGTTACAAAATGAGGTTCTGCACTGGCTCTGGAATTAAACTGTAAATGAAATCTGATTTAATTCGTGTTCTAACTGGTCTGTAACATTTCTCACTGAAACTGTTAATGAAAAGCCTTTTTCGTTGTAATGATCAATGAGTTCATCGGTTTGAAGAAAACTGAAATCGTAAAATTTTGATAAAATATTGGACAATCTTCGTGGAACCTCTTTCAGATCGAATCGACTTAGAAGGGTACTTTCCTTTAAAAAAAGAAATTGATATCTCATGAGTGCTTAATAAAGACTTAATAAAGTGACAAGGTTTTCTTGCCCCTCATAAATTCTAATGTAAAAATGTCGTTGATCAAATGAACGACAATAGTATTTTGCAATCTCGGGAATGAAATTAGAAAATAAATCAATTGCATCATCTGTTTCGCTCGCTTCTATTGATGTGATGATCAGAATGAAGGAAAATGAAATCGTACAACCGCGATAATATAGTTGTCATTCTTTGTTGAACCTCTTGCAAATCGAAGTAACTTAGAAAATCACTTTCCTTTTATAAGAAAAAATCAATAATCTAATTGATAACTGATCAGCCGTTCCAGGGAACAACACCGTACACATATGCTCAGGTCTAAAAAGGATATGACTTCCAGCGGAATGAAAGATCTCATAAAGTTTTCCACATCTTCTGCATTCGATCGTACAGTCATTCTTAATGACACTCTTGATCCACGATAGAGGCCAACATCTCGATGGATTTCGTAATTGATAAAATCATGCAATGAGGCGAGGATGCTTCTGAAACGGGATACCAAAGCTTGTCTGCCTTCATCACCAACGATGATGCCATTTACCTTCATTGAGAAAAAAAAAAAATTATGTTGTTAGATCTACTAGAAAAAAAAAATAATGCGATCTCGAGGTTCCTTGACGGGAAAAACGAATACTTATTTGTACAGATTGAAAGAAAAATGTATCCTCCGTTGAATGAAAGGACTGAAAACGACTCTACTCACTCGTGTGATGGCTGCCATTATATTCTCTGGTTTCATGAGTTTTTTCAACTCTTCCAATGCCCTTTTCTTCAGTCGTCCTGAAAGGACGTCGTCCTGGAAGATCACTCGGTCATCATCTTCTCGGTCTTCATTTTCAAGCCATGCATCGTCTGTGTTAACATTTTGGCCACAATACAGACAATAAAGTTTCGCATGTAACAAGTCTGCTAGACAGTTTTTGTGAATGGGTTTGCTGCAACAACTTTTGATGTTGCAATTGCGTAAATTCACGTCGATTTCCCTCTTACAAATTCCGCAAATCGAATCGATGCTTGTAAACTCTGGTTCGAAGCCTGACAATCTTAACGATCGCCTGGGCGCGGCCATTTTTGATTAGAAATTCGGGTGGTGCCATTTGAATTAATATTTATGACTTGAAAAAGATGGCGGCATTACTGGCGGTGGTTGAACGCGAGTGGATTTCAATTGAAGCGGATTGGATGAAGAGAAGTCAACGCAAAAGAAACGAAATAAATTTGGAACGACAGAGAGAACGTTGGCGCAAGATTCGTGAGGATCCCGTCAAATACGATGAAAATTTGGAACGACATCGTCGATACGTTCATAACTGGAGGGCTAAATTGATATCCCTTCCCCTTCAAAGTTTGGCACCGGCATCAACAGGATATGGTGTTGTTGATATTGCTTTCTCCACTTATGTGCCCTCCTCAATGACGACTTGTCCACCAAAACAACCAAGAAATTCTTCATACTCGTGTCCACCAACTTCAAGGTGCAGAACAGCTTTGTCATCCAGCTAAAGAAAAAATAGATCAAAGGTGAATATTTGTGCTCGTGATAGGAGCGAACTTAATTAATTGTGCACCACGTTCTTGCTCACCAAAAATCCGTTGGAACTCTCATACAAAAAATGCCTGAAAGGTAATTGTTGACAAACGGTTTCTCTCCTTTACAGTGATTTTCATTTATCATATTTTGTAACTTATGTAACAGCGACCAAATTCATTGTTGTGATATGTTGGTAACACCTTGTATCAACACTCTGAAAAGCGAGCTGGTAACTTCTAGATAAGATACCTACATTTGAGTATGGATCCTTTTCATTATCAGGAATTATGTAAGAATCGCCGTCGAAAAATTTTCCATATTTTGACTTGGGCCAGTCCGACCAGCATATTAAGAAAAAACAGAATAGGTAAGGCTGTGATGGCTTCAAAGAAAGACGCCATAGGAACTCTTTATGCAAGTAGGAGATATCTATATTTTCCCTTTCATGGCGCAAAGCAGAGAAATGTTGAGAAACTTCTAAAAATTCCTGAGTACTCCAGTGAATAGTTTGTAAATTTTGATTCAGTGGAATCAAGAAAAATAAAAGATTTACCTTGCTCATAAGA